TGGTCCTTGACTTGCTAACTTACCCAGGGCAATGAGGACTAAGGATTCCCAGTAGTCAGATCCCTCCAACCTCTGCCTTCGTAAGTGAGAATTCTGCCTCTAACTAACTTCCTGAATATTGTCTGTCTGCTGGCTGGCCTCCTGGTTTCTGATGGAGAGCCTTTTTGTGTGCTCTTTCATGACTCGCTTGTTACTTTGTACTGCATACCTTGATGCAAATTGCTTGCCAGGACCACCCCACCTCTGTCTGTAGCCATGTACTTGTGATTCTGTGCTTTGTCTTTCAGAACTTCCACACACAACCTAGAGCTGAGTTACCTCCCAGGTGGGTCCTGTTTAATTCAGCGAAAAGCTCTGGTTCCAAGACCCAAGTGTTCTCAGTTACCTGACTCCTCCATAATCAACAAGGTTATACATAACCCTGTCCTAATTTATGATACCCTGAAATTCCCAGAGGTCCTTTCCCCCTATTATTGGTTTCTTGGTAAATAATTACATATTACAAATAATTATATCAGTCCAAAAAGATTAGACTTGGTTAGACAAGTCTGATGCAAAATGCCTCATAACCATATTACAAAAGCAAATAAATTGGATTGTTTGGATTATGTATTATTTTAGTTATCTATACCAATGGTTTCCTTTATTATCATAAAAAGGAACAGATAGATAATTGCATATNTCTAGTGTTAATCTCTTAGAGCATATTTATTATAATTAGCTGTGTGTGTATGCCTGCTGGATTATGAATACTTGATGGGAGAAAATATTTCTGGAGAAAACCCACCATATGCAGGGCATTGTGTTAAATGTGAGAAGTTCAGAGATGATGACGGGATCCTTAAGAATACTTCCCGTTTTATATTTTGTACATTTTGAGATGTAGTTCTAAGCTATATTAGGTAAAAAAAAGAGATATTGAATTAGCCGTCCATATAGGGGCAGTTGTTCTCTACTTAAACAAATGTCTTTTAAGAGAGAAGTAAGAAAAGAAAGGAAAATGTGATTTTGATCTTTAAAGGAAAAGGTGGCATGATATACAGGGGGACTGTATATCGAGTGGAGAGAATTAGGAAGTGTTTGATACTCCAGACTCTCACTCTGATGGTTGTTATAACGAATAAGAAAAACACCAACTATTTTTTCTGCATCTTCAGTCATTAGCTATTTTATGCTAAAGCTATGCCTGGGAATGTTCAAGAACATTTATCAGCATTTAAAAATAGAAAATAATTTTCTTCTAGTTCAAACTTGATTGTTTTAAATTGTCAATCAACCAAGAGTCTGAGTGTTGAATAAGATTAGGAGCTTATGATGCATTTTCTCCCCAGGGAGATTAAAAAATACTCTCTATTGGTTTCAAGGAGAATTAATTGATTAACATACCTAAAGGTCTTCTGTGTAAAATGCATTATGAAAAGAATGAAAATATTCTGATGGGACTCATACAGAAGTAGAACTTTATTTTTTTCTTACATGATCATGAGGAAAAAGATCCTGTTGTCTAAACATATATTTTAGTGATGTGCGTGAAGAAGAGAATTCAATTTATTGTTCAGTGCCAGTACGTTTTTAATTACAGGTTTTCATACTACAATATTACAAACAGCATATTTGATCCTTTTTTAAACAGAATGCAATTTTCCTCAATAGTACAAAGGATAAATTTTATTGTGCTCTGTATATGGTTCAATATCAAGATAATCCAAAGCTGATAGTTTAATTAATTGCCTTACTTTTTAAATTAATTGCTGGTCAAAATTTAAAGTAGCAAAATTTGTTCTCAAATCATATGTTTTATCTAATTAAGGAGTGTTCTAATCAATATTATATTTTCTATGTATTAAACAAAAAATTAGCAATTCAGTGACCACCAGGATAATTTCTAAGTTTGGTTGTATTTACATTTAGGATGTATGAGATACAAAGTACTGATGGTTATGATCATATTGGTAATTAGTATTTCCATAGCAACAGAGAACTACTTTCACTCGTTCATATATAATTTGTATCCTACATGTGTTCCTCTAGAACTGGTAAGTGTGTCAAATATTATAAAAAAGTGTTATTTTGTTCAAAATATAATAGTTTTCCTTTATAATGTAGTTTTCTTTGCTATCATGATATTGCTGTTTTCCCAATTTAAAATTAGATTTTTTCCCCCTACATAACATTTTCCTTTTCTTAAAGTTCCACTGGAAAATTCAAGAACAGACCTAAATAACATATTAACAAAAACTACAAGTGACAAGGACTGATCTAGGAGCCCACTTTGATTAAGGCTCATAAATTATAAATTGATAAACATTTATTTTCTGTTGATTAATACTGCTGCCACCATTATGGAGGATATCAACTTACTGACATTAGGCCATTGTGCTGGATTGACCTGAAAAAGCATCCTAGTTCTGAACTTGACATATTCACATACATGTGTTTGTTTTACTTTCCCTTTGTTTCTCTATTTCTCCAGTACAGTGCTCTTAATCCACGAGAATCTTGGGACATGTGGCATCCCACTCTGGTGGCTGAGGCTTTATTTGCTATTGCAAACATCTTCAGTTCCCTGCGTCTGATCTCACTGTTCACTGCAAATTCTCACCTGGGACCTCTGCAAATCTCTCTAGGAAGAATGCTCCTGGACATTTTGAAGTTTCTATTCATATACTGTCTTGTGTTGCTAGCATTTGCAAATGGCCTAAATCAATTGTACTTCTACTATGAAGAAACAAAAGGTTTAAGCTGCAAAGGTATACGATGTGAAAAGCAGAATAATGCATTTTCAACGTAAGTCAAATAGACATTTCTATTGGTAATGTTGTGCAGAATTTAGAGTGTACTACATCATGAATTTGAAAAATCCATGACAAACGGTTGCAAAGAAAATGGGAAATAAAATTATGCTTACTGCAGAAAACAAAATTAGCATGGCTTTGAATAGAAATGAATTCTTCTGACATTAAAAAAATACCTGGTACATTTATTTTTACTTTTGTTAAATCGTCTTTTTTTTTAAATGACCTCATAAAAAGGAAAGCTATATATGCTGTTTTAAAATGTGGAATAAAGAAGGAAACCTATGTACTATTGACAACTTACAAGTATATTAAAAGACAGAATATATGTAAAACCAATAGCGTTAGAAAAATCCAAGTGGTTTTCAATGGTTCCTCATGTGTTTTGCAGGTACTGAAGTCCCTTCAAATGTCTTTTTCACTCTAGTTCCTTACGCAAAATTTATGAGCAGCTAAAAATAATACAAACTATATGTCCAAGACCAACCTAGCCATTATCATTATGGATACAATACTCTTTGTGCCCTTACACCCAGAGGAGCGCTAAGCAGACGTCACTACCAATGTCAACCTCCAGTAATTCTCATCATCAGGT